TGGATTAAGAGAGATGCTAATAGCTTGGTTGATGCTTTTGCTAGGCAAGGGGTGGGAAGAAATGATTTGTTCTGGGCTATGCTGTAATGCTTTCATTTTTGGGGGGTGGGAGCTACTGGAGTTTATCTCTCCCCTCTCCTCCTTGTATTTGCTTATTTTTTAATGAAATCCATTCAGTTATTGATAAAATAAATAGCTAGAACCAATGCAACATGTACACACACATGGGAACCAGAACCTGATGTGTATCCAGGAGTCTAATTCAGCAAGATGAAGAAACAAGGACTCATAGATACACCTGTAGAAAAAATAGTCCATATTTTGTTGAGTTTTAACATTATGAACATATAGAATAAGGTTTTAAAGATTGTCTTTGTTACTATGACATTTTATAGGAAAAATGACATTCATTGTGTGCATTAGCCGTTCACTTATCTTGAGTGCAGAATCTGACTTGTATTAAGTCACATTGAAGTTTCCTTTAAAAGTGCATTGAGTGCAGAATCTGACTTGTATCTGACATGGATACTCCATACATTTAGGAAAGCAAGCAACACTGGCTAGAACAGGGCTTGGGTATGATTTTCAGACTAAGGTAGAGATTGGTAGATTAGGAAGGGGTGGGGATTAACTGCAACAATTGAAAATTTGTCACAGAACTATGAAAAATTCCAAATAAGGGAAATCATTTTCTAGATAAGTATAAGCATTGACTAATTTTGATGTGGTTTGACCTTGGAGCACATCTTGCACAACATTACAAAAATTCTGGAGCTTTGAGATGAAACTCAGTACAAATTGAACAAAGCTTGGAACAGCATGATGAAAACTGCTTGATAAGAAAACTTTAGGTTTTGACATAAAATTGAAAAAAAAAACTTGGACCAGTTATTATTATTTTTTTGGGATAAGTAAGTTGAATTTTATTAGGAGAAATCAAAATATACAGCATTACAATCATCCCAAGGAGAGGTGTGAGATACATCACTCCATTAACTCCTTGCTTGGCTGATGTATCAGTCATTTGCTGATCTTCTCACCCATTGATTTTTTTTTTTTTAATTAATAACATGTAAATTTCATTAATAAGAGAGAAGGGTACAAACTACAAAGGGGAGAGGTAAGCACTCTTAACTCTCCCGCCAAAAACAGAAAACAGACCAGAAAAGATATTACAATTGAGCCCAAAAGAAAGAACTCTACTCACCCCTTGTTTAGCTAACCTATCAGCAAAAGAGTTGGCACTTCTTTTGACCCAAATTACTTATAGTTTGATGTCCTGTGGAAGCGATACTCCAATCTTGTTTTCCTTCATCCAACCCTCCACCAGTTTGGAATCTCTTTCTATAATCAATTTGCTAATGTTTAGCTCCTTAGCTCTTTGTACATCTTCCAAAGCTGCCAGAATCTCAGCCCTAAGGGAGTCATCTACTCCAATTGGTCTTGAGAAGAGAGCAATTATTTTCCCTTTCTCATTCCTCAGCACACCCCCAATGCCCGAGGGGCTTGGATTTCCAGCACTGTTTCCATCAAAATTCAACTTGATGCCATTTTAATCAAGGCTGAAGTGGCAACTTTTTTCCAACTTCTTAACAATTCATCCATTGAAAATCTTTAAAAAGTTCTAGAGACTTCAACCAATGCACCACTTTGGTAGAGATCATCCCCAGAATAACTTATTTTCTCTGTCCCCCTGTCTGTAAAGATTCTTGAATTCCTTGAAAGCTGAGGGATTCTCTACCATATGCACTAGTTCATATTCAGTCCATAGGTTAATGAACCTTGCACGATACTCTTGAATTTTCCTCTCTCCTTGATGATAAGAAAATATACCAACTTCTATTTGATAAAGTCTCGGAATATTAGATTGCTGATATTCCTTCTCGAAATACAGAATCTCATAAGCAGTCCTATACCCATGCATGATGCATGGGAATAGCATTTAACTAGTGCACGTGATAGAGAATTTTTGCATTATCAAATTTCCACTGTTGTAGGGCCTTGGCATTTGAATCTTTAGGCTTAGTAGTTGAGCAATCCAAACAGCCCCAAATTTCCACAAGGTATAATTGGATCCATTGAAGTTGATGAGAAGAGTATCAGCCCTTTCCAGAGCCATTGGAACAGAGAGCCAAGCAACATACAACAGAAAACAGCAGCAAAAATAATTCCAATAAGGTGGTTACCAGTCCACCCAAAGCAACTAAACAACATTCCAAGGGAACTTTTAACAAAAACCTTGTAAACAGGGATAATACCTCCTTGAAAGGGCTTATAAAAAGAAGAAATAGAGATGCCAAACTTTGTCCAAAAGTCTGATCAGAACACCCTATAGTAAGGTAATAAAAACACCTTCATTCATCAGAAAAAAAAGGTAATAAAAACACCAAGACTTTGTTCACTTGTCCAGAAAAGGAAACTGCAGCAGTATGCTGACCCAAAAGAGAGGGACCAAAACCTTCTCAAAACTGATCCAATCCAAACCAGCCAAATAGGATCAATAGAACTTCTCTGGGCGTTCTCAGATCTAGGGTTTTGTAGAGATCTGATGTTTCTCAAAAGAGATCCAAAGAGAATACCATTTAAGTATGCATAAATCCTAGAGAAAGGATTGATTTTGGTTGATCAAAACAGCCCAAGATGGAAATATCATGCATACTTAAAAAGGACTCACTACTACTGTAAGTCAACCTCTTAATAGCAGATGAATAGAAGGTAGAAACCACAAGCAGATCAGATTTTGACTTGCTCTGATACCATGTCAGAGTAGGTTTGAATAGAAGAGGAGAAGAGAGAAAGAAGGCTATATGGGTGTGTTGAAAGTGACTGTTCACATCCAGAAAAGAATATTTATATTAAAAGATAAATGGACCATTCTGTCCTCAAGATACAAATAATGTACATTTTAGTATACAAGTAAAAAGATCTAGTGTACAAGGACTATAATACACCTATTCTCCCAAGATACAAAAGGAAGAAAAGACAAAATTAACCCTTTTTGTCTTTACACTATTAGACACTTCATCCCAATTTCTCCAAATATAATCAAAGGAGAGATGTAAAAAGATATTCAAAGTTCTAACCTAGTGTATCACTCTAGTCATAGCACACTCTTTTACTGCTTCTTCACTTCTTTCTTTCTCAAGAAAAACTCTAGCATTCCTCTCTTCCTAGATGGTCCAGACAACTGCTGCCCTTGTTCACAAGGCCCTTCCCCTTTTCTTTGGCCAAGGAAAGGTAGAATAATCAAACAAGCTCTTCACCTCCAACATCAAGTTCCACTTGTGCCCAGACAAAGAAAAGAACCAATCCCAAATTCCTGCAACAAATGGACAGGAGATTAGCAGTTTCTGAACATTAGGGATATTGCATAAACTTTTCTAATGAATAACTTGTAGACATTGATGTCTGTTTGCAAAACTAGTGAGAAAATAGGGAGAGAAAACTAGGAATCACTCAACAAGGATCTAGAACCAATAACTGAGGTTTGGTCACCTCCATGTGCTGGATGGAAGAAATTAAATTTTGATGGCAGCTGCATGGGCAATCCTGGACCTTCGGGTATTGGTGGGGTCATCAGGGAGGAAAATGGAAATATTGTAGCTATGTTTTCAGGACCTATTCAGCATGGAGATGTGGTGAGATCAAAACTGTTGGCAGCTGTGTATGGGTATTATTGAAGGTGATTCCAAAATTGTTGTGGACTGGCTGAAAAAGGGGGAAGGAGTAATATGGCAGTTAAAGAATGAATTAAGACGTTTCAAACAGGTTTCTAAGGATATGATAATCCAGGTAAAGTGGATTAGAAGATCTGCAAACAGTGGCAGATGGGTTAGCTAAACGTGGAATTCAGAGACAGTCCATGTTTTGGGCTGTTTTGTAAATATTGAAAGTGGTTTTGGACCTGATCTTTGCCCACAACTTCTTATTGTACTTCTTTTATAATTAATAATAAATTTTTCTTGTGTTGCTGATAAAAAAAGGATCTAGAACCATTGCAGGGTTTATAGGAATCACTTACCATAAGCATAATTTGTAGAAAAATCACTCAAACTTCATTATAATGTTATTTTAAAGACTTACATGTATTTATTTGTTTTTATGGGTGGCCAATCCTACTAGGGCTAGGAAAAACCAGAAATTACAATATTGCTACTATCATAAGAAAATAATTGCTAAACTACTTAACTAATGACTATGAAATTTTAGACACATATAATCTCTGACTCTAAAAAATCAAACTATTAAGTCAGACCCCACATACATGCAAAATGATCTAAATACCCCTACTATTCTAAAAATACAAAAATACACAAGTTCCAAAAAATTCAATACATGATAAATTGACTCTTTCCCTTTTTACCAAGACCTTATCCACCAGTGTTGATTTCAATGCTTTTCCTAGACCTGCCTCACTAGAGAAACTGGATTTCTGTTTCTGTTCTCCAACCTTGTAAATGTGGAAGAATCAGGCTCTTCACTAACATGGTTATATAGACCCAGTGATCTTGCCACCTAAACCTTAACTTCCAGTATCTAATTGACACACCCACTTTTTTGCAACAGGCCTTGAAACTTGGTCTTCTAAACCCAGCACAACCATCTCCCTGGAAAGAGGCCCATCCACCAATGAACTGGTCCTATGCCTTACCTGGGATTAAGAATAGAGAACCCAGGATCACAACAAAATTTGAATTTGAATTTAAGTTTGACCTTGAGGCAGTACTCCCTTGGTCCCATATACCCTGGATTCTTATGAATTTTGATCCTGGGGAAGGGCCTGGATGTGCGATGGCTAAACCATACAACCAACTCCCTTATCTCAATATGTTAGATCACCTTCATATATTTTTGTTTTGATATGCCTAGATGTATTTTGGCATGGTTGTGGCATAAATTGATATTTGTTCTAGATGTAAAATAATAGCTCATTGCATTGCATTTGTTTTGTCTGTTGTATCTATAGCTGCAAATACTGATATTGTCTCTTTAATTTACAGGGTCGTTTTCTCTCATCACTCAACACTCAATCCCCAGCAATAAATGTAGTCTCTCGAAGGTTATTGAAGAGTGATAGTATAGTGGCCCAGAAGTTGTTTATTAGAATGATGAATGTTTATAGCTGATACAGATCTCTCCCTCTCTCTTTCCTTAATTTTTGTTTCTCCAATTCTTTCATTTCACATTTTCCCTTTGACTTTCATTTTTCCGATCCAGTAAACTTCATGGGCTAGTTGCTTGTGGTGGTGAAGATGGTGCCGTGGAATGTTTTGACATGAGAACAAAAACTTCAGTTGGCAGGATTAATGCTGTTTCTCCAAGTGGTGATACCAATCAGGTAGTGTTTCTATGTCTTCCTGAACTTTTGAAAATGATTGTTAGGTCTAAAGGCCCTGAAAATTATCTCTGCGAATTAGTTTGGCATTTATAAAGTGTGCAAAGTAGTATTTATTTGGATGTGGTATCCTCAATGAGCATCTGAATGCTAAGTCTCATGGACAGGCTGTCCAAATCCCTTGTTACCCTGCTAGGCAAACAAGACATGCAGAATTTGCTAACAACACTTATCCTCAAATGGACAGCAGATCTCTGCAGCCAAACATTTTTTTAATGAGCTATCATAACTTTGGTCATGTAGAAAATTGTTAATTTGCTTCTTTGATCCTAGATGGCCCCCTTTTTGCTTTGCTTGATTTGCAGGAAGTTTCTACATTAGAGTTTGATGGAGATGGGGGTTTCCTCATGGCTGTTGGAAGTAGTGCTGGAAAGGTACAATTTCATCACTTTGGTAATAAAATGTTTTTATCTGATTTTGATCTTATCTTACCTTAATGTTATGCTTCATACCTTATTAATTATCTTTAATGGTATATTTTTTTCTCTTATCAACATCTCCATGAAGAAATAGGGGTTGGTGAATCTTGACAGATCATCATATTGATGTAAATAATTTATCTGAATATATCATTTGTTAATTATCGTGAATGGCCATTTTATTAATGATATAAATTCCAGAAGCTTTCTGGTGCTGGTTCTTGAGGTTAAGTTAATGGTCTTATTTTTTTTTTATTACAACTCAACCTGAATCTGTTACACTTGTAATTTTATTTTTTATGCAATATGTATGTCATATGTATTGATTTATGTATATACAAGGTCACGTGAGATGTGCAATTATCAAAAAAAAGGATGCGTGAGATGTGAGGAGAGAGAATAATGATGAAGGGTCTTTTATTTTAAAAAATTATTTTAAAATGTTGCCCATGTATCATTTGCATATATACTATGTGTACATGCATGGGTATGATAGTGTGTCTTCATCCATGTGTTTGTAAATTTGGTAGGTAAACTGAACCCTACCTGACCAATCAGATCTCATGACTGGGTTTGGGTTAGGGTTGAGAACCTTGGGTTGAAGACCATATTGGGTTAGGGTTGAGGTTTTAACTCATTGGGTTGGATTAAAACCTCAAGTTATTCTTTGTTTTTATTTTTTATTTTTTCTTTTTGATTGGCCTCCAAATTATTCTTCTCCACTTTCCTGTTTTCTATAGTTCTTTTCATTTTATGCTTGTGGTTGTTATTGGAATTCACATCATTTAGTTCCCTTTTCAACCTTGTTCTTTATTCATTTGAGAACCTTTTTTTTTTGTTTTCATGATTTTGAAACTGACCTTTTTCTCATCATTCTATTAGAGTGAGGTGTTATTTTAGATGGTTGTGTCAACTTGTTGACATTGTAAAAGAATGTCATTATAGAACTTAGTGTTGAATTTCTCTTTATGTTTTATTCCTATTAGTTATTCAAAACTTACTAATAAGAATAATCTTGGACCAAACTACAAACTTTTTGAGGCTATCAGCACATCACATGTTTGAGCACAAGGATAACTACAAAGGGCCATTATCCTTTGTTGGTCTACTGTCAGTTGTCTTGGGAGTTGTGGATTTGATATGCACCTAAACTTTGTTTCTTACACTTTAGCATGAGATTTTACCATTCCATCAAGAAATGACCCCTATAGCATAAGGACAACCACTCTCTAATAGAACTTTGTTGCTTGTATTCTTGTGGTTTGATTTGTATTCCTAAAAGCTTAGAAAATTGTTTTCTTTTTTGTTTCAAGCTTCATATTCATCATTCATCCCTTCTGACCTTAGATCTTATTTGTGCCTTTGAAATTACAGGTATTTATCTATGACTTGCGTTCTTCCCGTCCTGTTCGGGTGAAGGATCACATGTAAGTGTCTCATTGGAATTGGTCAATGCTTTTAAAACAATGAGATGTACTTTTTTCAGTTCTGACTTTCTTCTATGTTTGATATGATTATTTTTATAGGTATGGCAGCCCAATACTGGATATTAAATGGCACCATACTCTTAATTCTGAAAGACCAAAGTTGATCACTACGGATAATCATATTGTTAGAATTTGGGATCCTAACACAGTAAGTTTGTTTTCTTTGTGGACATTATGATTTTGATAAGCCATTTGCATTCTTAACCATTTTATTTTATTTTGTCTTTTGATGAGTAACTATGAAGTTTATTGATTTAATTGAAAGAATATTATATATAGAACATGCCTAGGCATCCCAAGCATAGGCTGGTAGACAACCACCTATCCCATCACAGAAATGTAAATTACAATTCAGCCCAAATTAAATGTTTCCTATTAACCTGTTGTTTAACAAAACCTTTGCCATACATTTGCCAATCTCCTTACCCAATAGAAACTTGAGACTATTTCTTGTGCTAAATATCTGATTTCCTTAATGATGTATATCACCACGTTCCTTGATTTTTACCCTTGTGCCTTTCCATCACCACCTTTGAATCTCCCTCTACCATCATATTTCTAGCAGTCTTACAAGAGCAAAGAGAGAAGTTCCTCATCCCTTCTGTTACTCCTTTGGGACTGAGTTGGGATTTTGGCGAGTTCTACGTCATTTTGTATTCTCTTGATAATGTCTGTTTGGATCCCTTTATCTTAGATAGACGAGTTCTCCTCATCCTAAGGGTTCCTTTTTGTGTGCTTCCTTCTTCAAGTCTCTTTGTCAGTCCCCTGACCCTCAAGAGTTTCCCTTCAAGGAAGTCTGGTGTAGGTTTGTTCCCCCAAAAGTTGATGCTCTTTGTTTGAAGTGTTTTATGGGAAGGTAAACACCTTGGGAAATTTGCAAAAGTGGAGATCCTTTCTGTGTTTATCTCTGTACTGGTGCATTCTTTGCAAATGTAATGGATAGGATTGTTATTACTTATTTATTTCCTGTTCTTTTGCTACAAAATTATGGGATTGGTTCTTCTCTTTGTTTGGGTGCAGGTGGTGTAGTTGGGGTGGTAAGGCAATAAGGGATGGTCATGGTCTCTAGACAGAGGATGACTGTGAGTCTGCGCGAGTGAAGGTTTTGTAGGTAGGGTGGAAAGGCAACAAGGGATGCTCTCCTTGAAAGGCTGAGGATGACCAAGGGTTTGTGAGAGCAAAGATGCCAAGGGAGCTTTGCGAGAAAGGGGATTAGGGTGAAGCAGGGAGTAGGGAGAGATTCGAAGGCCCATGCATGAGATCAGTCTCGAGAGTCCTTCGTCTTCTAGCCTTCTAAACTTGGTAAGGTAACAAGGGATGGTCTCCTTGAAAGGTCGAGGATGACCAAGGGTCTGTGAGAGCAAGGATGCAAAGGGAGCTTTGCGAGAAAGGGGATTAGGTTGAAGTAGGGAGTTTAGAAGGCTAGAAGGCAAAGGACTCTCAAGATTGATCTCGTGCATGGGCCTTCGAATCTCTCCCTTTTATAGGGAGATCCCGAGGCTATAATGAGAATCATACAAATAAAGACTTTTCTTGTTGGAAAGTGGATCACGATTATTTGGTGCTTAGTGGGTAAGCTTTATTGGGGTTTTGCCACGTGTCCAATGAGGATCTTTTGGTATTAGGATTCCCTTTCCCTTAAGATTCTCACATGGTATGTCTTGGCTACAATCCTTTTCAAGCTTGCTCGTGGTCACACGTTAGGAATAAGGTTTTTATGATGATGACATGTTTCAGTGACATGGCCTACTATGACACGGCGAGTCGCTGTTGCTCATTGAGTAGGGGACGATCCCTGTTTGTCGAGTCTTCAGATAACTCTGAGCAATGACTGTGTATGACATCACAGGTGTAAATGGTCACCTTTGTCACTTTGGAACGTTTCTCATCCATCCTAGATGTCTCTGCTTGTAGTTTGTCAGCCATTACAATGTTCACCGCAGGTGTTCCGGTAATTCGCTTTGTGCCATTGCAGTCTTCATTGCAAGATTAATTCTTCGTGTACTCATAATTTGTGATCCTCATTGCGGTCTCTGCAATGCTAATCTACATGTACTTACAGGTGGAATCTGCCTTCAGATCTACATATGTTATTTGACCCATCTACCTTTGTGTGGATCAAAAAAGTGGAAGAACTGCAAGATTTTCTGAAGAGAAGTAGAGAAGTTTACAAGAACTCAAGGAGTGTGTGATTACCAGAGTGATACATTGGTTAAAAACCTTGGAATGTTTTCATCAGTTTTCTTTGATGATTTTTGGAGAAACTGGATTGTGGTGGCCAATAGCTGTTCTCAGAAGGATAAAACACATGTAGCTTGGAGACCACCTCCATTTTAGTACTTAAAACTGAACTTTGATGGAAGCAGTCAAGGCATTTCATGCTGCTTTGGAGTAAGAGGGGTGGTGAGAGACAAGGATGTGAATATTTTGGCACTTTTCTCAGGACTGGTGGGGGAAGGAGATTCTATTGGGTCTGAATTGCTTGTTGCACCACAAGGAATCCAGATCGCAAACCAGCTTGGTATGGTAAATCTAATAATAAAAGGTGATTGTAACTTGTAAGGTGGTGGTGGGATGACTGCTAAATCCAGACTTTGTATTGTGGTGCTATAGAGATGAAATCAATAAATTCAAATGGTATACAGGGTGTATGAATGTAAGAATATAGTGGGCTAGGAGATCAACAAATACTATGGCTCATTTTCTAGCCAAACAAGGGAAAAATAGGGATATGTTGTACTAGGCTCAGTTGTAATCTGTTTATTAATTTGTTCTATTTATTTTTGATGTGGCGGAGGTTGCACCTCACACCTCTCCAAGGGATGCTTATACTGGTTTTAAGCTCTTGATCATTTACCAAAAAAAAAAGACTGCTGGCATCTCCCCTTTTATTGAGTCCCCTTGCCTAACAGGTCCTAAAACTTGTTGGAAATGAGATTTCCATTTGTTCATTACTTTGTATTTGATCTCTTTGTTAATAAAATGAAACCTCTGTTCATGAGGCATTTCTATTATAGTTGTATTTACATATAAATAGAGGGTCCTTAGGTAATATTGTAGGGCATTTCGATGGGATTTATCATGGGGGTACTTGAAACATCCTATTTAAGGGTGAGCCTGCCCAACTCACTTTCATGGTTGGCACATAGATGGTTTTCATAAGATAATGTGGTGATATCTAGGGGTTGAGCAAAAAAAACCAAAAAACCGAACCGACCGAAACCGAACAGAAAAATCGGTTAACCGAACCCATCGGTTCGGTTTCGGTTCGATGTTTTCAAAAACCCGACAATTTTGGTTTGGTTCCGGTTAACCATTTAAAAAAACCGACAGTTACCTGAACCGACTGATATATATACAGTAATATATATTTATATAATTATATATATATATATTATATTTTTTATTTTTTTCGAAAATCAAATAAAAAGGTTCGGCAGTCTAAGAGTGTCAGACTGCCGAATTGAGATTTTCAACCTTTCTCTTCGAAAATCGAACCTTTCAATTGAAAATTAAAACATATCATATTTTATTTCATTTGAAAACCGAATAGGCGAACACTGCCAAACTGGTAGTTTGAGTGTTTGACAGTCTCTTCGAAAATCGAATCCTTAATAAGTAATAATTGGCCTCCTACCTCCAGCGTGCCTTTCCAGTTTCCCCTTTGTTTCCCTCTCTGAAACTCTGAGCTTTCTCTATCACTCTCTCGGACTCTCAGTCTTAGTTCTCTTCTTCCCCAACAGACCGACGGCCTCCAGCGCTCCGCCCTCCGACCGAATCACCGATGGCCTCTGACGACCGAATCACTGACGTCCAACCAGGCGACCAACTGTCTCACTCTTTGTTCTCTCTCTCAGACTCTTCTTCTTCTTCCCCAACGGGCCAGACCTACCGGCGGTGTCTCACTCTCAGTGAGTGTCTCTCACTAATCTGTCTCAGTAGTTAGTTTTGTTCATCAGCTCTCATTCTCTCATCAGTCATTTCTCTGACTCTCTCACTCTCAGACTCGGAGCTTTCACTCTCTCTGAGACTGTCTGGCATCTCCTCTCAATCTCTCATCTCTCAGTCTCTCACTCGACACTCACTCAGACTCACTCAGTCTCTTCTCTCTCAGTCTCAGTCACCCATCTCTCTCAATCTCTCATCTCTCTGTCTCAGTTCTGTTCACTCTATCTCAGAAGTCAGATCATCGTTCATCGATTCTCACTCAGTCTTTTTAGAGGGGAGGCTTTTTCCCATTTTTTAATTTTCAGTGCATAAAAAAACCGAAAAACTGAACTGCGGTTAAGCAGTCCATCGGTTAACCGGTCGACTGGTTAACCGACTGCATCTGTTCAGTTAGATTTAAAAACCGAACAGGTTGGTTCGGTTTAGAAAATCACCCCACGGTTCAGTTAACCAAACCGTGAGCGCCCATAGTGATATCTCAGCCATTGGGGTGAGATATCAAAAAAAGCTGAGAGTTTGGATCCTCAACCCCAAAGGTGCTTTTTCTTGTACTTTGTTCTTTCATTCCTGGTTTCCCCTATTTCTCATGGGTCCTCTTTTTCGATGCTTGAAGTATGGTGTAAACCTGTTCCTTTAAAAATAGAGGCTTTCTATTGGGAGGTCTATCATGGAAAACTCAACACTATGGACTTATTGCATAAATGAAGGAAAACTATGTGTTTGTTCCCAAACTGGTGCATTCTCTGTAAGGCAAATGGTGAAACTAGGGGTGAGCAAATGGGTAGGTTCTACCCAGAACTGAATGGAGCCAACCTCGAACTAGCCTTGAACCGGTCCTACCTAATCTGCTACAAGGTAGGGTCTGGTTCCGAATTCTTGAAAGTTGAAACCAACCCCCACCCAAGCCGATTCCAGGGTCCAGGGGTTTACCCTACCCGGACTTACCCAATGAACTGACCTTGGTGGAACCTGCCTTGGAACCAAACTTGCCTTAAATAAACCCCAAAATACTTTGGGGAACGTGAAGATTTGAACCTAAGCACTCATGGTCTCACTTGACCATTGAGTTACGTAAGTTATGTGATTATTTGATTTCATTTTAATATTTGAATGTGTAAAACAAGTAAGGTAAAAGGTAATATTTACAAAATTTAAATTTAAATTATAAGTTTTGAACCACATAATAATATCTACATATTAAGTTTCTCAATTTAATCAATAAAGATAATATAAGTTTTAAACTGTATATATTATATTTATTGAAAATCAAGTTTTTAAAGAAAATACTTTTTTTTTTTTTTTTTGAAGGGGAGATTAAAGAAAGAACAGGTTCCATGGGTAGACCCTGGAACTGACCTCGGAATTGCTAAGGCTTGAACCAACCTTTACAAGTTAGGTTCTGGTTCCAAAAACCTAGAACCGACCCCTACAGGGTAGGTTCTGCCATGGAACCGAACTGATAGGTGAAACTATTGGACATCTTTTTATCTCTTGTTCATTTGTTACCTTTATTTTGGATTGGTGCTTTTCTCTTTTCGGGTGCATGTTTATTGGTCAAGGAAGAGAGGGAGAATAATGTGGTGTTTTAGGGCTACTGTGTTATGGATAGCATGGGAAGAAAGAAATGTGAGAATTTTCAAGGAAGAAGAAAGACATTTGGAGGCTATTAAGGTTTGCATAACAATTAGGGTGATACATTGGGTTAAATCCTTTGACCTTTTCTCACCCCCACACTGTTGATGATATAAAAAGAAATTGGATGGAAGTGACTTCATCATCTATAAGGGAAGAAAAAATCATCAAATGCTGGCCTCTGCCCTTGGAAAACTTTATAGAACTTAATTTTGATGGGAGCAGCCTTGAGGCCCTTTAGGCATTTAGGGGGGAGGGGGCCAGGGCGGCGGTTTAAAAGGCGTGCCTTGGTGCACAGGTGATGCGGATTTTAGGTTATGTGCCTCACCTAGGTCCCAGAAGGAGTATTTTCAAAAGGTGTGCACCTGGTGCGGCTTGTGCTTCAGCCCAGGTGTGTGCCTTTCCGAAAATCCTGTATTTGCTAATGTTTCTCATTCATTCATCCTAATGAAAGATATTTCTAAAAGACACTTAAAGTTATAAAACCTTTCTTTTTTACAGGGATTAAAAATTTAAGACCCTAATATGGACTTGTTTGGGCTTGCCTTGAGGGGGCTTGGTATAGAGGCGGCTTGTAGAATCAATAATATGTAATGTTTAACATCACATTTGCTATTTGAAGTAATGCAATTGGAAAGAAAAATAGAGAGATTAAGAGTTTACGTGCTTGAATCTGTTTTATATGTCATGCTTGATTTTATATTTAAATATTCATTTTAAACATGTCTTACATGTTATGTTTATGTATTTTAATTTTGGATAGTAGGTTTTTTAAAACATTTGTTTTAATTTTTTTATATTTTTATTTGATAATGTGTTTAATATTTTTATAATTTGGATTTTTTAATTTTTGGCAATTGTTTGCATTTTTTTTTGTTTTTTGCATTTTTGTGCCTTGCTTCAAAAAGGCATGCGCCTTGCCTTGTGCCTCTGGCACAAAATGGCCCTTGGACTTTTTTAAAACACTGGTTCAAGGATAAAGAAGGGAATATATTAGCTTTATTCTTGGGCCCTATTGGTCTTGAAGATTCCATTATTACCTTTAGAAACCTTGTGTTAGGTTTCCCTGCCTTTCCCTTCCTTTCCCTACCTGTTCCTTCGAACCAAACATAGCCTTAGAGCTGAACTGCTAGTTGTCCTGTGTGGAGCTCAAAAAGCAAAAGTGTTAAAATCTGGAAAGGCTGTTTGTTGAAGGGGATTCTCAAGTGGTGGTTAGCTGGCTAAAGGATGAGAGGAGGCAGCTTGGATCTACTGAGATGGGGTTAAGAAAATCAAAGGGCTACTAAAGGGATTGACAACAACTTTTCAGTGGGTCCCTAGGGAGGCCAATGAGCTAGCTGATTCATTAGCTAGGCCAGGGGGTTGTTAGGGAACAACTGTACTGGGTTCAGTTGTAATATCTGTACTCTTTAGGGTATCTTTAGCCCTTATAATCCTCTCTGTACATTATTGTTTATATTAATGAAAAGACTCCTGGTTATTTACAAAAATAGGAAAACCATTGGCAATTCTAACCTTATTTTGTACAAGAATGTATAGAATGAAAAATTTAAGCGCCAATAATTTAATTGTAAGACAATGAATTTATATAAATACATTAAACCAGTAAACCCGATATAAAACCAAGTCAGACCGAACTGGATTAAATCAGTTGTTCATCTAGTTAGAGCTATTTTCATCAACTTAAGTGCTAGAGCTTTATAGAATATCAATTAAAGGGTCAAAATAGGCAAAAGCAAACTTAAGAAGATTCCAGAATATGGAGTCCCAAAACATTATAAGTAGGGGCCCCATACCCATATGAGGGCCCATTAACAACAAGACCTTCAATCCTCAATGGATCCATTTCATGGGAGAGAAACTCGTATTCTCTCTCTCTCTCTCTCTCTCTCTTTCTCTATGTGATTCTCTGTTATCACCAACATATTCTCCCACCATTCCTTGGACCTTTGGAGCCTGACCACCGCCTGACCACACTTCATGGCTTTACATTAACAATGGATATGGCTTTAAACAGAGTGGGCTGGCGAAACAGGCTTCATGTAGCTGATCCCATGTAATTTGGATAAGACTTGGATGATGATGACGACGATGATGATGATGTTTAGAATGAAGAACAAGGTAGATTTACCTATTATATGGTTAGGCGTCCCTAAATAAATAATTCAAGGGATAGGAGGAATAGATACATGGTGTTGAAAGTGGATGCCTGAATAAGCAAATGCTGCAATGGAAGAGGCACCGGCAGCAAGCTTGGAAGTGGATCCTGAGCTTTTGTAGTTCCTCCTTGGAAATATTTATCATGTCTCAGGTGGATACCGATAAATGTTCTGTGGAGGGTGATGCTGTTAGGTATGTTGGAGGCACTATTAACTTTCTTATCCTTTATGAGCACCAACAAAAACTGAATCATTACCATTTGGAGTCTCTTGCATAAATACTCTCCACCTTTCTAAACTTTGAACATGACGCAGTGTAGCTGTTCTTAAATATGTTATCTATACCAGAACGATCCCTATTCTGGATTTTACCTATCAAGGAATTCAAAAATGTAGTTTTTTTCTGTTTTTTTTTTCCTATTTGATACTTGATTTTCCCCATCCTTGTTGCACTAAGGTTTGAACTTCTTGTAGTTTTCGATCCTTAGATCCATATCCTATTAAGAATGGAGTAGTGCTCTACCAGAGACTATTTATCAAGAAAAAGTAAATAAATAAAAAGAACTCTGCCAGAGACTTCTCTCATGCAAACTAGAGATCTCCTGCTTCAATTGGTATATTACAAGCAATGTTCCTTTGTTGGGAGAAGAGAATCTAAGTCATAACCATGGGATTCTTGAACTAATTGCTACTATTCATACTCTGGAGAATCTTCTGAAGATTCCTTGGTTTTCTCATAATCCCATTAACATATCCTTGTTTCCTATGTCCAGCAGTGAACATTTTTTTTTAGAAGATTTATTGTACTCTCTGATCCAATACCCAAAGGGGTATTCAGTCTTGAGGCAGGATTAGCTATTCCATTATTTTCTGAACTTCTAACAACTTGTGTAACAGATATTAAAATTCCTTAACAACAAGGAACAGCAGGCCCGACACAACTAAACTGGAGATGTACACCTCCAAATTATTAAGACTTAATACGATCTTCAAACAAGCATTCAGAAATTGGTAGTTTACTTTATGGAATGAAAAAAAATAAAAAAATTGAAACAAGAAATGAACTTATATTTATGATTAGGATCTTTCTCGTTATGCTGCTATGAAACATTATGGGAATTTTTCTATCAATGATATTGCTTTTCAGTTATTTATTAGGATTTTTAATATATTTCTTACTTTTATTTTGTAAAATAATGCTTATTAAACTTTCCAAAGAATTCCTGACAATAATTTCCCACCCTCTTCTATGTTTCTTCAGGGAGATGGTTTGACCAGTATAGAACCAACAGATGGAACTATCAATGACATATGTGTATTTCGCGAGAGTGGTTTGATGATATTGGCTCTAGACTGCAGCAAGATACCATCCTACTTCATACCTGCCTTAGGTCCTGCTCCTAAATGGTGTTCGTACCTTGAGAACTTAACGGTGTGCTTGTTTGCTTGGATAGCATTAGTTTTGATTCTCAACCTATATATTTTTTATTTCTTTACTGTGAGGTTTTTAATTTTGTATTTTTGATCCCTTTTGTTGGGCTTTTTCACTGCAGGAAGAAATGGAGGAGAGTGCTGAAACAACCATATATGACGATTTTAAGTTTTTGACCAAAGAAGACCTTGAGAGGTTGAACTTGACAAATTTGGTTGGCACTAATCTTCTTAGAGCTTATATGCATGGCTTCTTCATTGACTATCGGTTGTATAAGAAGGTAATGCTGCTTCTCATCTTGCATCTTTCTTCAAGAAACATTATGTGCAGGATAAATTTATTATAGGAAACAAAACCAGTTCACTTTTCATGGACCATTATTCGTTTCAAGCATTTTCACTTTTCTACCTGTAAATTTCCAACTTTGAAAAATATTGTAGTAGAATCTTACATCTATGGGACATTTTCAAAAACTGTGGAGTAGAACCATAAGTTTAGTAATTTAAAACTCTGAAGGTTGTCCGTTTTGTTAGCTATATTGAAGACATTGACATTGCATTTCACTTGGTCAAAAGAATCTGCAGTTGCTACTTGCACAAGAAAGTACTTGGAATAGAAATATCAGAAATAACTTTGTAGATTAAAGAAAAAAAATGACAAAAATATTAAGAAGAAGATTAGAGAAGGGAGAAAAACATGACTGCCAGAATGTTTTTGAGCAGCAGCCTCTTCTATTTATAAGTATTGTTTAGTTACAAAATGAAAAATGCAAACATACCCCTATGTCATGGATTGACGGGGTTGGATTTGGCAATGGAAAGAACCCATGCAGCATCCTAGCCTCGTGCAGCAAGGACAACCCTTTTGTTATGTAAGGGTGGCCAAGTGTAGGCCCATTGATGGCTCAACCAAGGTCAGCGGCACTGGATCATGACCTCATTGCCCATGGTTGGGCTCTTGTTTGGCTCATGCCAGTCCATGTGAGGCGACACTACATGCCAAAGGGGAACTATGCTGATGATGTCGATGCTAGGCAATTGTTGGGCCCTGAACACACCCTAGCGCTAGGCATAGGGTATGCAAAGTGAAGGGGAACATTTATATCCCTCTCTCATGCATGGCCTCCCTCTCATGCATAAGGCTTAGTGCTGACCCATTTACTATCCTCATAAGCGCGTGTGCCCATGAGGAACCTTGGTAGCCATGTAGCCATTAACCAGGGCTTCCTTGCGAGGGATGTCTGGTCTTGGGAGTGCCAAGGGTAGGCACCCGAGGAGGTTGACCACCCCTCAAAAGAGGATGTTAAGCTTTTGAAACTCTGCCCAAAGATGACATCAAAATGCCAGAAAATCATATTGCAGAATTTACGATAATGCTACTCAATGCAGCCCACCAAGTGTAGGTAGACTGAGCCTACTTTTAGACCACAACACCTAGGTGGAATAATATAAAAACTAATGAAAACATATAGAAAACTGATATAACCACAAACAGACTGTAAAAAAATAAAGTGGAGGATATTGATCATTCTGAGCTTGTTTGATCATGTGTCAACTTGGACTTCACACCACCTTGGTAAACACATCTGCAACTGCATCTTTAAATAAACACAAGGAAGACAAACTTCCCCTGTTGACACCCTTTCATGAATAAAATGCGTACTCACCTAAATAGTTCAGTTATGCTGTATGGGATCATAAGCAATATCTATTGCTGCTTGTTTATCACAATACGGCATAAGGGCTCTTCAAAGGAAACACCTAACTCCCTCAAGAGTGATTTCAAAACTACTAAAGTTTAGAAACATCATGTGTCATTGGCTCTATGCTCTGCCTTTGCACTAGGATTAGCTACTAACTTTGTTTCTTGTTTTTCCATGATACTAGATTTCCTCCAACCAAAGCACAATAGCCAAAAATGGAATGTCTATCATCCATAGCTTGCATGACCAGTATTTGTATACCCCTCTACCCAGTGGTTTAAAAGGTGTGCCTAGGGTACACCATGCCTAGGTCCTAGGTGTAACACTTTTAAAAGGCACATGCCTTTGCTAATGTTGCTCATTCATTCATTCATCCTAATGAAAGATATTTTTAAAAGACACTTAAAGTTATAAAAACTTTTTTATAGGGATTAAGAATTTAAGACCTTGATATGGATTTGTTTGGGCTTGCCTCAAGGGGCTTGGTACAAAGGCAACTCGTAGAATTAGGAATGCATAATGTTTAACATCACATTAGCTATTTGAAGTAATGCAATTGGTAAAAAGAAAGTGATTAAGAGTTTACATTCTTGAATATGTTTTATATGTTATATATTTATCAAAAAAATATGTTTTATATGTTATGCATGATTTTATTTTTAAATTTTCATTTTAAATATGTTTTACATTTTATGTTAATGTATTTTAATTTAAGATAATAGATTTTTTACCAAAATAATAATAGGTTTTTGATAAAAAATAATATTTTTTGAACTTTTATTTTATAATTGAAGTTTATATTTTTAAACTTAAATATATGTACTTTTTTTGCGCCTTGCAGTTTTAAAACATTGCTCCACCTTCATATGTCCAAGATTAGTGTATAAAGTACTCATAGGGCATGCATGTATTGGTTGATGACACTAGCTGTGTATGAAGTAATCTTCTCACCAATCTTTGGTAAATGGTGTTGTCCTTCAACAATTCTCCTGCATTTTAACTTGTGGTTTTAATCAATTGGTGTATCCATAGGTTTAAACCCCATTTTCCTAGTCTCTTAAAGCAAATCATGTGCATACTTTCTTTGTGATATAATTATACCATGTTTGGACTTGGCTACCTGGACTCCTAAGAAGTATCTTGATTCTCCAAGATCTTTAATCTCAAACTCCTTAATCAGAAATTGTTTGAGACTATCAATCTCAAAGTGTAACTTCCAATCACCACTACATTGGAAAAATTGCACTGAAATTTCTTATGGAAGGGTCCAAATGAAGAGCAAATGCTTTACTGTGTGGCTTGAGACAAAATTTGTGAATCAAGAGAGAAAGGACACACTGGATTAAGGAAGTTGAAAGCGGTGAACATTTCTCAACAAATGGCTATGGTGTTTTGGAGGAGCATTCTCATCCACGGAGGCAGAGGCAGGTGATGGGGGTAAGGTATTGCTCCTATGGATTGGAAGTCTGGATTATATTTTTTCAGAAGTATTACAAGGCATTACATTCAACCCTTCAGAAATACTACCCTACCATTGTAGAAGCATAAACGTTATATAAGCAAGCCCAATACGATTGATTTCTATTAACCCCTTGCTTGGCTAGAGTATAGAAGAAATATAGCGCAGCAAAAATCCTGGTTTTAGAGAAGAAAATAAAGAAGAAAAGGAAGGAAGAAGAAGATGTTCAGGTGAAAGAGAAAGCAAGAGGAAGAAAAGAGAGGAAAGGAGAGCTGAATCGCGTCTCTCCCTCTATCCCTCAATCACTTTATATATGCTGAATATTAAAAGGTGAAGAATTACATGGGTGCCCTAGTTAGGCGGCTGACCCAAAGACATAAGAAACATTAAGTATTGTGGCCCATAAAGAAGGCCCACTACAGCTGAAATAAAACTACTTATAGATAAAAAAAACTGAGGCCCATTTGGCCCAATCTCTACAAGTATCAGCTGGCCCATTTGCAGGTTTCTATACCCATTGTATCTTTATCCTCATATTCATACTCCTTTCCAACCATTTGATCTGTTTAAGTTCATTCTATAGCCCCATATTGCTTTCTCACTGTTTTACAGTCACCCAGTTACAACCTTGGAGTCGCCTTCTATAATTAAATCAGTCAAACTCATTTCTCTTGCCCAGTGTAGTCCATGAAGCACATCATAAAGCGCAACCCTTGTGGAGTCTCCAGGGCCAATTTGACCTGAAAACATAGCAATGGTATTCCCTTCCATGATTCTAAAACACCTTCCACTCCTGATGGACCCAAGTTTCCTACACTACTCCCATCAAAGTTTAGTTTAATGAAACCCTCCTTAGGTGGTGTTCATTGTTTATGGCTTTTTAATTTCTTTGAAGAAGATGCAACCACCTCTACCCACTTTCTTCACAAATCATCATGTGAATAGGATGAGAATAACTCCATGGACTTAACCCCTTGCACCACCTTAGCCTTGACGCATTCAAAAATTGCCTCTTGACTTCTTTCCCTCCTTAAAGATTCTTGCATTTCTTTCTTCCCGTATTGTCCACACAATTTATGCCCTTGTGCATCTCCATAATATCCTCTTCTTAGCCATGTGAAAGTCAATGCACAAAACAATCTTGCCATATTTGAAGGCACCACCCACCTGCAATCAAAGAAAGAGAAAAACCATTACCAGATGTAAGCAACAAATGGACAAGAGACTAGTAAATGATAACAAGTCTTGCCATTAGCCTTACAAAGTGTGCACCAAGTCTAAAGTGTTGATCTTTTCATGATACACCTCCCACACTTCTTTGACAGGGAATGATAGTTGAGGGGTGAGGGGAGGTCCAAGAGCCTTCAAAAAGGACATACAAGTAAAGAAACCCAAGTGACGAATTGATTACACTAGAAGCTTCTTCATCCCTCAATCTTCTTTGGAATCCTAAGTCCCAATAACATTCCCTAGGTGAGGATGATGATGAAAAAGCCAGCAATTCTGAAGTAGGTTCTTTTTTGAAAGATAAAATAGAATACAAGAAGGGGAATGGGTTCTTAGGAGAAAAGTTACCCACTCATACGTCTTCCCAAAACCAAATTTTATCCCCAGAACAAGCATCATACCAGATAAAGTTTAGAAACTACTTTGGCACATACCATGTTTATCCCCAGAACAAGCATCATACCATGTTTAGCTTTCAATGGAAGATTGCTGACACACTTGCCAAGGGGTAAATAGTGAACAGATGTATTTGGCACAGTTGTAACTGTATTTTTGTGTAATGGGGTGAGGTAGCACATTCTACCTCCCCATGGGAGGCTGTATTTGTATGCTGATCAAAAAAATGGGAGGCTGTATTTGTCCATATAATTCCGCTTTATTTAATGAAATTTGTTAGTTATCAAAAAAAGGGTTCAACTATGATGCCGGAAAGACATGATACTGGGAAAATTTATGGTCAAAAAAGGGTTCAACTGAGAATTTGTTAATTAACAAAATTCATGGGATTTTTTTGATTGGTCAAAAACTCAGCCTTTTTGGTATCATGTTTTTCTGGCATCATAAATTTTTCCAAAAAAAAAAAATCATTTCTGGACAACCCATTGAATGCTTGCCACCACTCCACAACTTTTCACTTTCAAGAGGCAGCCTCCACAGCCATTTACCCAAGAGTGACAAATACTTCATTCCACCAAGTGGTCCCTTTTTCTTTTCCCTAATTCCCATACGAAATCTCTCATTATATACTCTATCACCTTTGCTATCTTCTGTGGGATCTTAAAGACTGAAAGGTAGTAGATTAGGAGATTTACCATAGTGAATTTTATTAAGGTTAATCTACCTCTGGAGATGTAGTTCTTTTTTCCAGGTTGTCAATTTTTCTCTAACTCTCTGTGATAGGATTCCAAAATCTACTTTCCAGGTTGAACAAGAACATAAGGCTGGAACCTGGTAATGGTGAGCACTTTCATTTTTGGACAGATGTATGGGTTGGATTTTGAGCTAGTTTGGGTGCCAAACTGCCAAAATTTAGGGACTGTTGAGGTTGGTTGGTCTCTATTTAAACCCCCAGATCAGGGACTCTTGGATCTGGCTCAGGGAACTACCATGCTCTTTCTCTACTAAGTCTTATTATAAGGTTTTGATTGGGTTGTTCCATAAGATTGTTTGCAGTTGGATTTGGCAAGTGAAGGTTCTATCCAAGATTATTTTTCTGGTGTGGACTACTGGCTGGTATCAGATTCATACTATGGATTTATTGATAAAAAAAGGAATGGATATCTAACCAATTCTGTAGCCTTTGTTGTTTTCCTCTTCTATTGAAAGAAAAGGAATGAATCTAAGCAATGCATGCTACTTAACCTTTATGGAGGGTCACCTAATTCTGCAAGAGACTTGTTATTCACTGCCCTTTTATCCATCTGATATGGAGTCATTTCCTTAACTTTTTCACAGTCAATGGGTGCCTCCTCAATCAGTGGCTGAGCTCCTCTCTTTTTGGAGAGTGAGTAGATTCTTGCTGAAGGAAGAATATTATGGGATCAACTGCCTTTTGCAATCTTTTGGGAGGTGTGGAAGTAGAGGTCTAAAAGGATATTTTAGGGGAGAATTCTTCCTATGAAGAGCTATTGTGAAGAATAGAGTGGGATATGGTCCGGTGGGGTGGAGTCTTTCATCAATTTTATGGGATAGGGAATTCTACAAGAGCTGAGTTGTTGGCTGCAGTATAAGGAATTCAGATTGCTAATCAATTCTAAGGTGATTGTGGATTGGTTATCAAGTCCAGACTCAGTTCTTTGGAGTTATAGGGATCACATTAGAAAAGTTAAATGTTTAACAAGGCACATGTCGTGTAGATACCAGTGGGTGGGTAGAGAGGAAAATGCTTTGGCTGATTATCTTGCTAAACAGAGGTCTGCTAGGGATCGGTTATTTTGAGCAGCTTTGTAATCTTTTTTTCTCTGACCACCTGTAATGTTTAGGGGAGGCTGCACCTCGTGCCTCTCCAAGGGATGCTTGTAAAGTTTTATTCTGCTTGATCAATGAAATCAATTTTCAATTATCAAAAAAAAATTATGAGATTTCAATTACAGATTTTACAGCTGACTGGATCTCAATCCCTATCTTTGCAAACACTTCAAGAACCAACCATAGTTCCCCTTAGATTGATGGGGTTAGGGGTGTTCATGGGTCGGGTTGGGTCAGTTTCAATGATTTTTTTCAACCGACCTGATCATGTCGGGTTGCTTATTCACCAAACTGAAACCGACCCAAACATTAAGGGTCGGTTGGGGTTGGTTTGTCGGTTTAGCCAGTTGGTTTGAACAATGGGCAAAAGCAAGAGGTTGTGTAGTGTTTAGCGTGTGCAACAGATATTTCAAATTTCTCCCCAAGTTTGGCAAGTTTAAAGCCTTAGGGATCTTTCTTGCAGGGCTTGCTGATCCCAAAAAGGTAATAAATAAAAGACTGAAATTGACTCAAACGTTCCCCCCCCCCCCATATTTCATTTCCATGTTTCCTTTTCGGTGTAAATTTTTCAACTCAAAAACAAAGTAAAAAAGAGAGTGTAAGAAATATTTGAAAAAGGGAAATAACAATCCCAAGACAAAAGCAATTCCCCATTTAGCTAATGTTACTTAAACTTAAAGCTAACTAGGATAGGAAAGGACTAAGATTTCAAAAGTAAGAAGCAATAGGCCAATAACCAATGATGGAAACACTCTACATTAGTGAGTTACTTGTTTGGTTCAGTTTAATTTCAGTTTTCAAGTGTGAAAACTGAAACCAACCTGATCTATCGGTTTAGTTACTTGCGAGAACCAAAACCGATCGGTGATTACAAAAAACTGACCAAATTGGGTTGGGTTGGTCTGGTTTGGTCGGGTTGGCTCACAATCTGAACACCCCTAGATGGGGTACATCCCCTGTCCAAATACATCCATAGTAACACGATAACATGAAAACTCACATAATAAATTCAAATAGAAAAAGAGGACGGTAACATGGACATTAATAACACAGTTATAGCTTACACGTATAAAGGACATGAATCTACAGCAAGAATAAGAACACATTGTTGTTCATAACATGGAAAGTTAGTGGTCAAATGTAGGTTGGAACATGAATATACAGCAAGATAAAGATGGGTTGGATGAATCTACAGTGACAAAAAGGATTAAATGAATTTGGAAGATCAATACCTCAAACTGATTTCTGTTAACCCAAATTTATAGTGAAAAAATGCCAAAAAAAAAGGTTTGAAATGGTGTTTGATAATCTGATTCGAGAAAAGGAGAGAAACACGATACTAACCTGTTGAATGATGTGTTCTTGTGCATAGAAAGTTGTTTTCTGGTGATGATAATGGAAGGAACGTCGGAAAATTGTGGGAGGTATTGTCTGTGAGAGTGGTGGTGAGAACCTCTTCATTTATTAGGGTTCGAAAATGGTAAAAGAGGGGGTGGTGGGTGTAGAAGTGTTCTAGTGTGCAAAAGCATGGAGTCTATTTTTTTGCACTTCGTGATTTGGACTTTTGTGTACTCTTATTTTCTAATTTTTAAAGTATAGAACACATCAGTCCAAACGACCACCTGTACTTTCATGCTAAACTACTTTGAAGGTATGACAGATTGACAGTCCAAACGCCTTGTCTGCTTTCCCTTCTGGAGCAACTAGATGTTTGAACCTTCTCCATGTTTTGTTATCAATGAAGATATTTGACATGGTTTTTTGATAAAAAAGTAATTTCTGTCCGGAAAACGAAATAAATAGATATCCTTAAATAGTCTGTGCTTGTAACTTGCATGCATATTTGCCACAATGTATTTATTGTTGACTCATTTAATGTATCAACTTCATGTCTGTTCTATAGGTAAGAAAACAATGAGCCACTATCATGAAAGTATTGGAAATAGATAAAAGCTGATTTTGTTTTGATATCATGTTCTTGTTTGCAATGTTGCAGGCACAATCTTTAGCAGATCCATTTGCATATGATGCTTATATAGAGCAGAGGAAAAAAGAGAAGCTGGAAGCAGAACGTGCATCTCGAATTACGGTTAGATGCTTTTGTATTGAATCTCTCTTTTTCCATATGGTTTATTTGATTCGAACAGTTTAGTTTGTAAGCTAGATGTACAATTTACTTTTGGTAAGTAGGGTTCTACTTCTGGCTGTTGCATAAATATTCCTGCAATGTATCTACATGTTGAAATTCTAAATTGATAGGCATCAGTGGTCGAACTATGTTGGTTCACAGTCACTAGGTTGATACTTGTAGGAAATTCTAGATTGAAGGCATCTAATTTATTGAACTTTCTATAGTTTTTAAACCATCCAATCAAAAAATTTGGGGTCTGTTATCAGCACTATTTATTTATTTTTGAGATAAAAATGGCAAACTGATGTGGACCAGGGGTTTGCTGCTTCATTTTTCACAAGAGCAGTATAGAATCATGTGACACCTTCAGAAACTTAAGATATCTTCTACTGACAGATACATTAGTGTAACAGTGCAGAAAAGTCTTTGAGTATTTTAATTGACTTGGGGAATCTGTTTATGAAGACCAGAAACTCTATAATCTATACTATTTTGTCCCAATGGAGAAATCAAATGCTTCTGTTGGCTTCTAGAAAAAAAAAATAATATATGCTTTTGCTTGATAATTAATCACTTTTTCTGGAGATATGAAATCTCTATTGTTTCATCTCGATGGAAAATCAAGCTTTTCTTCTTTTGCTTTTAGAGAAAAGGAATATATACTTTGACACGTGAGTTATCTCACATTCCTTTCATTTTTCTCTGCAGATCAAGAGGAAATTACCTAAAGTCAATCGTATTCTTGCAGCTCGTCTTCTTGAAAATGATGAAGTGGAGAATGAAGTGAAAGATGTAGATGAATTGGACGGAAAGAAAAAGTCCAAGAAAAAGAAGGGATTGAGCAGTGATGTGCTGAATGATGAGCGTTTTGCGGCAATGTTTGAAAATAAGGTAAACTCCAAATGGATTTCCAAGTATGTAATACTGATGGTGGTCCAGCCAGAAGGGGTCAGGAGGACCTACCTGTATCATGAGGTGTATTCTGCTGGATTAGTTAAACACTTTGGGGATTTTTTTCTCTTTGATTTTTATGGGATTTGTTATCTCCTGACATCACATAGGGAATGACCTTTTTGTAGTCCTCCTTTTGATAATGCAGTAAAGTGTTTCATTACTGATAAAAGAAGAAAATAGGAAAGAAAATGTAAAAAAAATGAAGGCTCAATCTATATTTGTTTAAAATGCTAAATTTAGACTTGGACGCACAAACAAGCATGCACACTTCCATATGAAAGGGCTTTTCTTTTCATAAATGATGGTGTGTTGTGTTACCATAGCAACAGTAGAGAAATCCCTAAAAGGATATTGAGATCTTTTTTAATGAGATGAAACTGGAGGCGGCAAATACAAATAAAATCTTCTATAAATTAACTTACATGTTACTTTAACTTTGGAAATGTGTTCTTTTTGTGTTATGTTGCATTTGTTTGTTCGGTGATCACTTTAATTTTTCTAACTATATGTTTTATTGCTAGCTGTGTTTCCTTCAACAATATTATTTTTTATTTAACATGCCTGGAATAGTAATCTATCGTGTATGGTTCATATACCAGATTCAAATAGTTAGGATAAGTCTTGGTTTTTTGAACATGACAATTCAATTGAAAAATATGTAATACAGGCACCCACTCACACACGTGGAGTACCCACAAAATACTCAATCTGTAATTCTGTATTTGTTTAAAATGCTAAATTTAGACTTGGACGCACACACAGGCATGCACACTTCCATATGAAAGGTCTTTTCTTTTGATAAATGAAAGTGTATTGTGTTACTATAGCAACAGTAGAGAAACCCCTAAAAAGATGTTGAGATCTTTTGCATCTTAATGAGATGAAACTGGAGGCGGCAAATACAAATAAAACTTCTATACATTAATTTACATGTTACTCTAACTTTGGAAATGTGTTCTTTTTGTTTTATGTTGAATTTGTTTTGTTCGGTCATCACTTGAATGTTTCTAACTATATGTTTTATTGCTAGCTATGTGTCTCTTTCAATAATATTGTTTTTTATTTAACATGCCTGGAATAGTAATCTATTGTGTATGGTTCATATATTCATATACCAGATTCAAATAGTTAGGATAAGTCTTGGTTTTTTGAACATGACAATTCAATTGAAAAATATGTAATACATGCACCCACTCACAAACGTGGATACCCACAAAATAGTCAGAAACTTGGAATTAGGCTTGTAAATTGACTGAAGAATATGTTATTTACATTTTTACATAAATAGTCCTTTTATGACATATTTACTTTCCTTTCTCCTCAGCACTGTATATTATAATGCTTACTTAAATTTGATTTCCTCTTCAGGACTTTGAAATTGATGAGAACTCGGAACAATTTATGGCTTTACATCCTATGGGTTCCAAGAAACAGCCTTCATTGATTGAGGAGCATTTTGAGCCAGTTTTGGAGGATGAAGAAGAGCAGAGTTTAAGTGATTCTGATGCATCTGGAATGGCTCAATCATCAGAAGATGAGCTCAAGAAGAAAAATGAAACATCAAAGGTTCCAAGGTGAGATGGACTATGAACAAAATGTATTATCAACCAAAGTGATTTAAAAACTGTTTAGTATTAGAAACTTATTGAAATAGATGTCAGAGCTCCTGATTATTTAAAAAAAAAAATCACAAATGCACAACTGAACTTACTTAGAATTGGTCTTTAACTTGGTATTGGGACAAATTTACTTTTTAGGCATGTGCTGCAAGGTTGAACCTCCAGAACATTTTCCTTTTGCCTTGTTCTGAGGTCAAGGTGCAAGCTTCAGTCACCCTTTAAAATACTTGAAAATTACAGAATTATAATTGACAAGTGTTATTTGGAAAAATAGTAATTAAAAATGTAGGACAAAAAGGAAAAAACAATGACCATTAGTGTGCGTCATAAGAATTTATATGGTAGAGAAAGGTTGATGAGAACATTTTAATATTATTTAGTATTAGAACATTATATCATCATGTAAGCCTTGCCCACTAAATTATATGGTATCAGATATCAAGTAAAATTATTAAACATTCAGTAAGAGGTAACAGTTATATTGGGGTATTAAGTTTAATAATGAAATTAGAAAAGGTGATTAGACAATATTTGGTTTACATTCTTATCCTTTCTTAATATTTTACTTTTGTTTATAAATATTTTTCCTGAATGAGACTATAAAAATACCTGGTTAATAATCTAAAGAATGTAGGTGTAAATGATCTTTTTACAGTCAGTGATGTAACACCAAAGGAAATGAACTACTGGAAAAAGTCCAAGCTGGCCTGGCCAGATATTGATCTTTTAGTGGTTGACATGACATTTAGGGAACCTGTAGGCATCCTTTTTGTCTTAACACTTGAAACCCTAAGGCTTCATTTGTTGGCAGTGGAAATTTCATTTACACTGGTACAAATGGATGGATTGCAAATGGGCCAAGTGCAAATTCTGGTTTACTTGTTTTTCAGGTTTTATTTTATTTTATTTTATTTAAAAGGAGTGAATTTGGAAGTAACATGATGTATTCTCCAGTCTATATAAGAGAAAATAAAAAGTAGAGGGAAGCTTATTTGTTTGTGTTGAATAAAATGGAAAATAAGATGATGTGATCCCATTTTACATGAGAGAAAACTAGTGCAAATGAGATAAAGTGCAAATTTTGCATCACGTAAGGGGGGCAAATCTTAGGTAGAAACAAATGCATGTTTGAACCAAGTGTTGATCCGTGTAATTGAATGGAGCCTAAATAACTCTGACATTAGATTACTGTTTACATAAATGGCATAGTGAACATAGCTGAGAACTAGTATGTTACTATTTCTGATGAATGCTATGCTGAAAATCATAATTTCAATAAACTGAGTGTGTGTAGAAAAGAGAGGAAACAGTGCTTGTAAGTTTATATTAAATTGTACTGGATGCTTTAGTCTAACCTGAATAACCCTTTCCATTTATTATTGTTAGCTAGAATTTATAATCTAATAGCCTTAATTAAGTTGATTAAATTAGTGCCAAACAATAGAGAACAAAGATTCTGCCATATTTTGGATTATGAACTTGTGTTTTTTGTTCATGTAAAATTAATAAGGATGATCATAATGATCCTTCACAACTCCATTGTGCATGTCAACTTGGCTAAGCCAAATTTATTGCAAAGCTTTATAAGTAAAATTCTATGTTAAGTGCATTTTGAGTAGAATTTCTTCATCAAAGCCGGAAAAGGAAAATTTCTTTCCCACTAAAAGTAATTTGTAAAATGTGCAGACTATATGAAGTGAAGGATGAGCGACATGCAGAAGCTTTCTGGAACCGTGTGTCACTTGCAAAGGATGATTCTCTTCCACTAGGCGAGAGAGTGGCTTCCCTAGGAGGCCAACAGCCTTCTGGGGTCCCTGGTGATGTGAAGTTTGGACCAGGGGGGTCACGGGAAATCTCCTTTGTGTCTAGAAGCTCAGCCAAGTACAAAGAGGACAAGGAGGATGCACGAGAAGGAAAGAGAAGGGGAATCCAGTCATTGGGCCTGAAACCAGATAGATCAGATTTCCGGGGCAGAGGCCATCATGGCAGAGGGAAAAAAGGAAGTCATGGGAAGAGCAGAGGTAGAGGCAGAAAATGAGGTCTACATGAATTTTCTGGTGAGCACACTACTTGGGGCAGTCAGAAGAGTAATGCATGGTACAAGAGATGTATTCCCTTGTCAACGCTGATTATCACTAGGTTTCTTACAAGTTGGTGTTTTTTGTTTGAAGGATGGATATAGGAGCTAACAGTTTCCATGTCTAGCAATTTTGTCGTATAATAAAACAGATATTTATTTAATTGTTTGGGAGATAATCAGCCAACAGTCTCCATGTCCCATGGCAATTTTGTTGTATAAGCAAATGTATTCTTGATACACCACATAAATTTATTGTTGAAAGTAACAACTGCTGTGCAAAGCCATGACGACCATCAGCCTTACTTGAGTTTACTTTATTATTGTTTTTTATTTTACCCTTTTGGAGGAAAGGAAATGAGTTATGAGGCTCCCCAAAATGTCATACTAATATATCTAAATTTCAACCTTAATCTATTACTGCTAGAACCGAAGCATTCAGCCTACATTGGGCAAAGAAAGTAGCACTCTGATCATCTTGATGCTCCATGGTGGGTCTTCAAATCCTTTAAACTATTGACAACCCATCTGAGAATTTTGACGCCTTATTTGAGTATTTCCTTTGGTCTACTGCTTTCTACTGGCAATTATCTATGTTTTCCTTCTCTCTCTAAGTGGAAAATGTGGTGCAATCTATATAATAATGACTTACATGGAACCGGAAGGTACAAAATATTCAGCCTATCAGCATGCACCCATATGCATCCAATTTTAGGGTTGTCGATATGTTAAACACAAAAGAGTTGGGGCTTGGGATATGTGGCCATTTCTCAAGTATAATACCCTTTCTAGAGATGTTCCGAATCCTGATTCAATTCTTATTGCCCATTGGATTGCCTATAGTGTATGTCAATACTTTGAACCATGCTGACATGTATGAAATATGAAAATGCAATATGGGTATAGTTTCTGTTGGTGCTCGGAATGGCCGAGGATAACAATGTAATTTCGCCCTTGGACTCTGAAGGGTGGCCGAAGGCTTTGAGGATTCGGAGAGGTCGTTGCTGAGGCCGATGTGTGTATGTTGAGGCGGGGTGGACTCTGAGTACGGTAGAAGTCGAGGGTAGGTGGTCGAAGTGCTATAAGGCAGAAACTCGTCAAAGGCCCCAGGTGAGAAATTGAGGTAGAGTCTTCGACGGTCAAGTTAGTACAGGGTACGAAGGGAGAGTAGCAGGGTAGGATCCTGTAGGCAGTTCCAGAATAAAGTCCCAACAGTAGTTATTGCAATAGCCCTTACGACAATAGATGTTGGTCTTGAGTTTGTAACCCCCTTACTTGGAGGGATGTACCCTTATTTATACTTGAGCTGCTTGGAGGTAGGTGGAGATGAACGCCTGAGATGGGAGTTGTACGAGGGCCTATAGCGGCTTAGGCAGGGTCACACAAATACATCGCGGTTGGCTCTGTATGATGGGGGCAGGGTAACCCCTATTGTAGTGGATCTCGTTCCCTAATCTGGCGCTCGTGGGTGGGCCTCACAGCCTCAAATGGGCTAGGTTGGGTCACCTCACATCACTTGCCCCCCACTCCCGAGGCTAAAGAGGAATGTTCGGCTTCAGCTGATGGGAGTAATAATGGTGAGCGCCAGAGGGCCCGGGCAGACGAGGTGTACCCTGTGGTGGCGTCCTCTTTCGTGTCTCTACTTGTTTTGTCCTTATGTGTTGGCTCGAGGCTGTGAGTGGTTTACAACACTGTTGCTTTGGACAAGCGATTCGGGAGGCGCGCTCAATGTGGACGTTCTGGTGCCGTCATTTGGGCTGAAAACAAGGGGGCCGAAGGCTCCTTAGGCTGAAGACTTGTGGAGCCAAAGGTTGTTTAGGCCGAAGACCTGTGAAGCCCGAGGACCCATGCACGGGATGGCTTTCCGGTCTGACCGATGCGCACATCCGCGCGGCCGAGTTGCATAAGCCGGTGGTCCATAGTGGGCAGACGCATCGGTTCACCCGAAGCGTCGTTTCGCCTTCCGAGAGTGAGCATCGTTTCGCCTTCTGAGGGTGTGCATTTAGGGAGGCGGCATAGCTGGATCGCAGGTGTGGAGGCGTTTTGCGTCCGTTGGATTGGGGACAATCCGAGCTATCGCTAGCATGTCATTTTGCCTTCCGAGGTTGAGCATCACGCGGCGCGCCTTGATTGGGTAGCGGAGGCGGTGGCTTCTTAGCAGTTGGATCTTGAGAAATCTGGGTCGTTCGTTCCTCTTTAAATAGGGCCTTTAGGGGTATCATTCCCGTCGTTTGCCTCTAAGCGCCTTTGCCTTTGAGTGAACTTAACTTCCAGACTCTCCAACCTTCAACACTCTACTCTTACTCTTTCTTCCTCTACATTTCCTAGGTAACTTTAAACAATGTCTTTCTCAGATTCTGGACCTGAGTGCTATGAACTTCCGCATGAGTCAGAAGGGAGCTCTTCCCGTACCCCTTCTCACCTTTCCCCCTTGAGTCCTTCTACCCTTGCCCCCCTCCGGCGGGAGGTCATGGTGCTCCGGGAAAGGGTAGCCCCTAAGGATGTCGAAGGCAGCCATCGAGGCGAGGACCCTCCCTGTGAGAGTGCCACTTCTGTGACACCAAGGGAGGCCGAAGGGGCCTGCCTAGTTGAGGGGGAGGGAGCCCTAGACCACGTTCCCGGGACGAGGGCTGCCCAGGTAGTAGCTGAGATTGGTGTCCTCCGCCTGGGTTTCAAGAACTCTCTAGATGGGGACCAGGTCAAAGCTCTAGTAAGGCAGTACTTCATTCCCTTGTCCTATGGTATGAGGGTGCCCAAAGTAGGCGAACGGCCATGGACTCCTAAGGAGGGGGGAGATATGCGTCTACCAACATTTCCTCCAGTTCAGTCTCCGATTTCCCCTTCATCCGTTGATTCCCGAACTGTTGAGGGCGTATGGGATTACTCTCAGCCAGCTAGTGCCCAACGTCGTTAGGACCATAGTGGCCATGCTGGTGGTGGCTCGGTTCCAGGGGTGGAGCTGATGCTAAGGCTCTTTCGAGTGTTGTTTGTGCTAAGGAGGCATTCCTCTGAGGACGACATGTATTACCTCCAACCCTGTAAGATTAAGCCGATAGACAACCCTTCCTCCGTGCAAAACTGGAAGGGAAAATTCTTCTTTTTATCATGCCCCGAGGGTTGGTCCTTTAAGTCGGGGTGGGGAGAAGTTAGCCAAGATGCGGAGAAGAGTGTCCCCATGCTCATGAATGAGGAGAACAATGACCTCGTCTAGTTGCTCGACCTAGGGATAGTCCGAGCCCAGCCCTTGTTGGAGGAGGAGGTCCCACTAGTTTTTGCGGGGCTTAGCCCTGCTCCCCTTGGTAGGTGAGATCCTGTAGCCTTTTAACACGCCCTTTTTCCCCTTCCTTTTTTCTTTTCTCTTCTCTTTTTTACCTTTTTTTTTGCTACCTCACTGATGGCTTCACTTTGTTTGTAGAGGTGCCAATGGATGCCGGCCAGGCTGTTCTGGAACGTGCTCGCGCCATGCAAAGGGAACGGGCCAAGGCGCCTCAGAGGCCTTCTGATGGGTAGAAGAAGGCCGAGAAGGTTTCAACCTCTGCAACGGGGGGTCTTCCCGCCAGGTCCCTACCAAGGGGATGAGGGCAAAGGTCCCTGCGAAAGGGACCTCTTTGACAGCTCCCTCGAAGGGAGCCACTTCGCAGATTCCCGTGAAGGGGAAGGGGACCGTCAAGGAGAGCCAACCAAGGCGCGAGGAGTAGGTGCCGTAGCAATCGGCCGAGGTGCCGAGGAGACCTGCCAACGAGGTCGATGTAGGGAGGAAGAGACCGGCCGAGGGGGCCGTGGGGGGTCAACCGCAGCAGAAGGTGGCCCGCACCAGGAGCTCTGTCAATGATGCTTCGAGGGTGTCCCACATGGAGTGGATGGGGCCGTTCTCTACTCCCATGCCATTGGAGGAGCTCGCCTAGCAGTCTGACCAGATCTTCCGCCCTCAGTGGGAGGTCCGCGAGGGGGACTCGATCCGCAATGCGGGAGTTGACCCAACGCTGGTAATCAGGTCCCTGTTGTCTCAGGACCGCTTCCAGATGTTGGGGATGGCCCCTGACAAGCTGTACGACCAGGGGTTGCAGAGCCTGGCCGAGGTAACAATCTGTCCCTCTTTGCTTCTCTTTTTTCTTTGTTCTTTTTGCTGGGTACTGACTGTTTTCTTGTTGCAGGGCTGCCTTCATTTTGTTGGTCTAGGGGACCGATTGAAGTTGACCCTAGCCAATATGGATAAGCTGGAGGCTGAGAAAGACAAGCTTCAGCAAACTGCCGCCAACGCCATGGAGAAGTGTCGCGAGATGTAGCGGTTCTTTGCTGACGAACAGAGGTTCCGCTAGGAGGCTGAGGAGAACATGAAGAAGACACAAGATCTTCTTGCCAAGGAGCAAATTGAGAGGGCTCAGGTTGAGAGCCTCATCTCCGAGGCCGAGCGGCGTCTCCGACAAGCCAAGGGGGGCATCTCTGAGGCAAATAGGCGGGCGGCCGATGCAGAGCGGAGGGCTAAGGAGGCAACTAAGAAGGCTACCAAGGCCGAGCAGAAGATGGTTGGCGCCAAGAAGAGGGCCCAGGAAGTAGAGAAGTGGGTTAGCGAGCTGGTCGACGTCGCTTTCGGGGCTTATTTGGACGGGATCGAGGACACCAAGAAGGCACTCTTGGCGGTGCTTTCGGACTTCGATGCTGAATCTTTGAAGGTGATTCCCGATACTCTCGAAGAGGCTGCCGACTCTGCACTTCCTCCTCCAGCTGATGGCGAGGCTTAAACCAGGCTTGTTTTTTGTATTCAGCTTGAAGGGCCATAGAACAAATTGAATTTGTAAAGCCAAAAGGATTTTTTTGTGCATAAATAAAATCAGAGTTTTTTTATCTTTTGCTTCAAATGTTGCACTTTGTGTTTTGTTGTGTTGTCTTTCCTTGTATATTTTTGCATCGTTTTTTGCACTTATGTTCTTGTTGCCGAAGGGTCCTTGCCCCTCCAAAGGAAAAAACACAGCGTAGGATGAGCGTAGTTCTCTTTGGTTTACTTTGTTCTATTTTTGCGCGTCAGGATCATGGAGAAGGGGTGGCTGAAGCAAAGCCTCCGAGGCTGAGTCGGGGCTTGCCTGGCCTAACACCCTTTTAGTCATTCATTTAGGCGGGGCTAGAGAGGCCTGTGATGGGGAGAGGCCGAAGCAGGGCACCAAGCTCGCCTGTCTCTCTTCCCTTTACTTAAATAGACAGTTTTGTATGCCCTTAGCTTCAATCAGAATGATGTACTTTATGTGTTTATTGTAAATGAATAAAGATACATATTTGATTCATGTTCCCT